TGAAATGGCCCCCGTAAGACATCTCTTTGCTGCAGGAAATGGGAAAAAATGGACAAAACCCTCCAGTTTGTGAGGGCGCCGCGGGGCRCCGCGCAGGGAGAAGCGGCAGCTGAAGTGCCGCGGTGCCGGGCGGGCAGGGCCGAGGCCGGTGCTCCAAGCAGCCGGGGCTCTGGGAAAGGCTCCGTGCTGGCCCTAACCCCGGGAAGGCAGGAGGGTTTGCTCGAGCCGAGCGCCGGGGCTCAGCCCCCCGGCCGGGGAAAGGGCTGCTCGGCTCCGCACTGGCGGCACCGTCGGAACCGTGCGCAGCTTCGGAACAAACCTGCTGCCTCCGGCACCGCTCTGGTCCCCGGCACCTCCAGGGCTCCCCTCGGCCCTCGCAGGGCTCTCCCACAAACCTGCGCTGGGGCGGAAAAGGAGGAAGGGGAGGAAGATCCCTCCACTGCCCCCAAACGAGGTCCTCCAATCCCCTACGCTAAACGTGCCCCGAGAGGCACCTGCAGCACTGGGGATTTCTCAACGTGCCGAAAGGCGCCTCTCCTTGGCCCCAACTTCTCCAATCCTCCCCTCTGCTGCCGGCTGAAACCAAGTACCTAGCTCTGATTGCCCAAGGAGAGGCGGTGACAGGAGGAGTCCCAGTAACCTTGGGCTCCGTCTCCTTTCTGCTGCGGTGGCTCTTGGGCAGCGGCCGCCTCGCYGGGCAGCGGCCTGGCCACGGGCAGCACTAACGGGCGGCCCCAAACTRGTGCTTTTAATGACAAGTGCCCATTTTAAGCAGCAAGTCACGCACCGTGCGCCCCGTGCCTGCCTTTCGGCGTGTACCAAAATAGCAAGTCAAGCCGAGCGCTCCCACGCGAGCGCGAGCAAAACCTGCGGGCAGTGGAGGCGCCTCGGAGGAGAGCGCGCCCCGTCGCTGCTAAGAAAAGCTCCRCGCTTTCCTCGCCGCGCGGAGCTGCAAACGCTGCTCTGCAGCCGGCACCGGAGCCACCCACAGCAGGGAAAAACCGGGAAGCAGAAACTCTCCTTGCTCGGGCTGCGGGTGCTGCACGTGCGCCGGGCGCGAGCGCGCACAGACGAATCACGCGTTGCAACGGCCGCGGCGCGGCGGCAATCAAAGAGAGCGGCCCCGGCCGTGGGAGGATTTATTGCTTTCAGAGGTGTTGCCACAGGTAGCCAGGTTTGAATGCCGTTTCAAGCAGCCTTTCAAAGGGGCTGCAGAGTCACGGCCCTGCGGGGAAAACGCGGGCACTTTGTTGGCGAGGCTGGAGTTTCAGACGTGCTGCGTGCACCGGCTTGCAGCCCTTTGAAAAACTCCCTCGTTCGGCAGCCTCAAACGCGCGTTAGGAACTTGCCCTGATCAAAGCGATTCCCTCAGCTCACAATCGCACCCATGCAAAAAAAAAGAAAAGCACTGAGCAAATTTTGGGGGTGGGAATTGCGGGCCGGGAATTGCAGACCCTTGCATCCAAACCTGCTGCTATCTCAAGCAGGGGAGCTTGGGGGGTCTGCACCCCACAGCGAGGGCGGCGGGAGGCTCTTTTGCTGCAATCCTCCCTGCAAGCAGGATAAGCTGCCGGCCGGGCAGGCTGGGCTCCTGCTGCAACAAGGTGCAACTGTCAGTGCAGTCCCAGCCCCGTGGGCACCGCTCGAGGCGCTGCTGCAAGCCCAGCGGCTGCTTCGGGTCATTGCCCTGCAAACCCTCCCACCCAGCTTTGGCCTCCTGGCACGAGCCCTGGCACAGCGGGCACCCCGGGACCACTGAAACCTTTTGCTGCTGCAAAGATTGGAACCGCTTCCCACGGGGCCGTGCAGGAGCGGGACGCAGGCCGAGCGTGTCGGCGAACCGAAAATACCGGCAGCAAATAACAGAGCCAGCGCTGGCAACCACCAGTCGCAGCTCACAGCTCCAGGAAGCCCAACTTTCCTGCGGTGACCTATATGTGCTATAAATGCTGCAGACATGGGCTGCGTGACGTCAGCTCCAGCCTGGTGGCAACCGTCRGGCTCCTCCTTGCCAAGAAAGCGCCGAGCGGAGGTGCCGAATTGTCCGTGCACCGCGAAACCAGTTCCTCCCCGGTGCATTTAAGGACAGAAACGAGGGAAACGGAGGCGACGTTTAAAATAAATCCAGGGGATAAATATAAAAGCAGAGAGATCTCTGAGCTGGAGGGCCCACGGGAACGCTTTGAATGTTCCCGACCGGCAAGAGGCGAACGGCCCCTCCGGGCGACAAGGCTGCCCACGCACGGGCCCGGCCRCTCGCTAGGATCTGAGGAGGATCTGAGCTCGCTAGGAGCTTCGGATTCAGGGGCTTTGTCATTTTGGGTTTCCCGCAGCACTATGTCACGTTACTGCAGTCACCTTCTCTCCCAGCTGGGCTTTGGAAGCACAAAAGGTATGTTGCACGTGCGGGTTTTGGCTGAAYGTCTGCAGGTCTCTGCTGGGCTCTCATCACTCCCGCCTTCCCCGCAGAGGACGGAGCCTCAAGTCTCCTCCGAGGGGGAAAGAATAAAAGCTGCAAGCTCGGGAGCTCCCCGAGGAGGAGGAGGAGGGGGGATGAAGAGCAGGGGTCACACATGCACACTGCCGAGGGCAGGTAGACGCCTAAAACACCAACTTCTCTGCACAAGCAACAACCTTGGTTTATTACTGGGGGGTTATTTCAATGAATCTGATGAGAGGTTTGTGCTGCAGAGCACACAACCCAGCTAAGAGGCAAGAGAAACCGTCTCCTTCCCGAGTGGAAGCACCGCAGTTTCTATCATGGATACGAGACACGAGTCAACCAGAAGGGTTCAAGAAACACCAGACACATTAGAGGCCAARTCTGGTCCTTCCTGCCCGGCAAGGAGCTTTGTGGAGCTAATCCCCAGGTCCAGATTACGGCGCGGCTGCAAGGCGCTCGGCTCCCTCCGCGCGCCCAGCTCCCCAAATCCAAAGCCCATCTGCTCCTCACGCCCCGAGCAGGCCAGGGCTGCCCGGAGCCGGCTGCACCTTTGGATTGAACCTGGCTGCACCGGGACCCTGCGGCCACCGCGCTGAATCCAGACCAGGCTGCACCAGGATGCCGTGGCCACCACGCTGAATCCAGACCTGGCTGCACCGGGACCCCGCGGCCACCGCGCCGAATCCGGACCTGGCTGCACCAGGATGCCGTGGCCACCGCGCTTAATCCAGACCTGGCTGCACCGGGACCCTGCGGCCACTGCGCTGAATCCGGACCCAGCTGCACTGGGACCCCGTGGCCACCGCACTGAATCTGGACCTGGCTGCACCAGGACCTCGCTGCCACCGCACTGAATCTGGACCTGGCTGCACCAGGCCCTCGCTGCCACTGCACTGAATCCGGACCTGGCTGCACCAGGACCTCGCTGCCACTGCACTGAATCCGGACCTGGCTGCACCAGGACCTCGCTGCCACCACGGTGAATCCAGCTACACCGAGGCCAACAAGCAGGAAGGCGAGCGCTCACCGCCAGGAATGAGGCTGCAGCCTCTCCGGAGCTGTGAGGAGATGCAACATCCCCAGGTACACGTCACGTCCTCCTGCTGCAGCCGCCCCTCCGGCCATCCACATCACCCAAGAGCAGAAGGAAGCCACAAGTTTGACAAGAAAATGAAGTGCTGCCCTTGACGCTTCGAAGGTGAGGCCAGAGGCAACTGGTTGAGGAGGGAAGCGCTGGGAGCCATGGCCAGAGCAGACAACATCCCATGAGCGACGCCTGGAGCGGCATCGTCCTGAAGAGGCTCCTTCTCTGGAGATCTCCACAAGCCGCCTGGATGCAGCCTGTGCGTCACTCTCCGGCAGACCCTGCGTGTGCAGGGGGCTGGACTAGATGACCCTGAGGTCCCTTCCAACCTTAAGCATTCTGCGACTCCATGATTCCGATCCCCGAGCRGGGCTGCCCAGCCGCTGCCCGGGACGGCAGCGGTGGTTGTGTAACCTCTCCAGCGCGGTTGTATAAGATCAGTCTGCTGGTTTTGTGAACCGCTCACCGCCAGGCTCCAAAACCAGCAGCCTGGAGGAAGGGTGGTGTCCACATCACCTTGCATTCACCCCAAAGCAAAGGGAGGCAAAAAGAGCCAATAAAAGGGAGATTTTGTGTCGTTCTGGCAGTGGAAGGGGTCCGGTCACGGCTCTGGCTTTGCCCTGCCCCATCCCAGGCCCTGCTCACTGCCTCTGGCCAGCTCTATAAACCAAGTGGCCAAGCCGGCCCCGTGTCAGGAAACGAATCAGCGCCACTTTGCTCCACTCCTGTTCTCCCGCTAGCACGGAGCACATCTTCGGTGGATTGTTTCAACAGCAGAAGTCTCAGGCACATCCATGTCCCGGAACACCGGCCAAGGAGCTCAGCTTCCACCTGGGTTAACTGGAGAGCTCTCTCCCCTCGGATCCTGTCCTCCAGCACCCACTCGACCACTTCCCTCGCTGTAAGAACCTCTGCTCGAAGCYGCATGGACACGTGGCCGGTATCTGACTGGCAAAATTCCAAAGGTGCCCTGGGCACGGAGCGATGCCACAGGGGGGCTGCACGGAGCAGACACCCGCTTGGCACCAGCACCTCCCTTGGAAGCCTCGGGCATGACCCACCCCAGGGATCAGCCACCAGCGAAGGGGCTTTTCCGGGATGTCCAGCAAAACGTTCCAAGGTGGAAACACTCCAGTGTCCACACAAGGCACCCGGGGAGCCGCGCTGTCTGTCTGTCCTCACAGCCCTTGCACCAGAGCTGCAAGGCAACAGCCTCTAGCTCAGATAACAGCTTCTTAATTGGACACAGATGGKCAAGGGCAGCTCTGCCTGCCCCACGGCCAYGCGGAGCCACCAGAGCAACCCCCKCATGCAGAGCAGCAGCTCCCAGCCACGAAACATGTAGCCCCATGTACCTACAGACGCCCTCCGTTCGGCTCTTTGGAAGCAAATTGAAAATAAAGAAATAATAAAACAACAACAAACCCACACATTACGTTGCTAAGACAAAAAAAGGAATGAAGACAACAGTACCTGATCCTCCAAACTGAGTGCTCGCTAGGGTCGTGGGTCTGTTTTTTCCATTAGCCACTGGCAGGGGAAACATCTAGAAAAACAAGATGAGAGAGGAGAGGTTTGAGTGYGTTGGCTTTGGGGCGCTGCTGCAGGGGGGCAGAGGGGCCCCTKTGCGATGCCAAAGCGGCGCCGAGGGCAGCGCGGTGCCGTCGCGCCCGCTCCAAGCCCTCCCGCTCCTCCGGGGCTCCCCGAGAGGCACCACTTCCACAGGCACAAACAGGAGCTTCTTCCCTAACTTTTCTTCTTTCGCCGCCGGGCACGGGGCCGCGGAGCGAGGGCTGACTCCGTGCATGGAGAGCGGAGCCGGGAGCGCCCGGCAAGGCTCCTTTCATCCCCAAATCCCTGCGCACCCAAGCAGGGCCGGGTTCCCAGTCTCTCCCAGGGCCGATCTCCCATCCGGCCGGCACGGGGACAACTCAACCACATTCCCTGCATGGCCCAGGGCTGCAGGACGAGGCTCCCGGCGGGATGAGCCCCCAGAGCAGCTCCCTGCCCTCGGACAGACCAAAGCCCCGGGCCGACACGTGCGACTTACGAAGATTAATGGTTTTTTACAGTATCAGTCGCTCTGGCTACTTGTTTGCTGCCCCCTAATCTGCTGCTGCCAGGGAGCTTCCTCCAAAACACCATGCACTTACTAAGCCAACCTGTATAAATATTTTTAATACAGGTTGGGAGGGGTTCAAGAGCTGTTATTTCAAAAATTTATATCCACCTGTGCGCGGCAGAAAAGAAAACTAATTCTTCTGCACACAAATGGAGCTCCAGCCAATAAAACAACTGGTGGGAAAGCACTTAGTAAATTAACATTTTAATATCCTTTTACTACTCAACTCAAGATACTTTCACCACCAAGTCATTTGAATTTTTATTATTTTTAGCTGCGCAACGTCTGAATAACTCAAAAGTTTAATGCTTTGAAGATTAAACAATGTAATGGCCCAAGAGCCTACAGAAAGGCGGCGTTTCATGCCCTGACATAGCTGACGTCTGGCTGTGGTCAGGAACATTCCTGTGCACAAAACCGTCTGCCCAGCTTTGTTTTCACAAATGCCGAGGAAAAAAAAAAACCTCCAGTTAAATGTGGTCGCGATGCAAAGAGAGCAGTGGAGCGGGCGGCTGCGCTCACGGCGGGCACGGAACGGGGCAGCGGGTACCTGCCCGCGCCGCCTTTCACACGCGCGAGGGGATAAACGGGCTCGAGCAGGGAGCGTGCATAGGAAGGAGCTGTTCCTGCCATAGCCAAGCGGAAAACGCGCGGCTCCCTGCACATCCCTGTGCATCCCTGTGCATCTCTGCACATCCCCGTGCATCCCCGTGCATCCCTGCAGATCTCTGTGCACCCCGTGCATCCCTGCACATCCCTGTGCATCCCTGCGCATCTCTGCACATCCCAGTGCATCCCTGCGCATCCCCGCACATCCCTGTGCATCCCTGCACATCCCCATGCATCTCTGCACATCCCTGTGCAACCCTGTGCATCTCTGCACATCCCCGTGCATCCCTGCACATCCCTGTGCATCCCCGCGCATCTCTGCACATCCCTGTGCATCCCCACACATGGCACCCGCAGGTGCCAGTCCCGACACAGCAGCTGTGCATAGTGCTCGCCCCACGGCACCACTCGTCCAACCGCCCCACAGACGGGGCGAGACGGGGCCGAGACGCAGCCAAAGGGCGAGGAGGCCGCTCTGCCCGCGGGCAGGGGCAGCTCCGCGCGCGCCAGGGCAGCAACCTGATGGAACCAACCAGCCAAAAGCAACGGGGAGAAAAAGCCCTCTCCCAGCAGTGTCCATGCACCGGGCGGTACCGAATGCTGCAGCTGGGCACCCATGGAGCAGCTGGGCACCTTGTTCYGTGCCCCGGGCACCCTGGCCCTGTGCATGGTCCCGGGCACCGAAGYCAGCCGCCCCTTGGCTGCATCCTGGCCAGGGGGAAAGCCACGGCTCCGGGCGGCTGCCTTGCACCCACGCTGTCCCTTCGCCTTTCCTTTGGTGCAAGGCCCCATAAAACACTCCCACCCGCCCCAATTTCCTCCCCGTTTTTTCCTAAATGTGACTTTACAAATAAAAGCAGGGGGCAAAGAGAAGAGCTGGCACGTGCGGGAGGGACCCAGCGTGAAGCCTTCTAATTGGGTCATTACTTGCCCTTTGTTGGATTTGAATAATGTAGATTTAAGCAGTTATGTAAAATCCCCCGTCTTAAGGCTCGGCGCTGGACCCAGTTTGTCAAGCGCGGCCCCGGTCCCCCCCGGCAGCGGGGCAGCCACCCACGCGCGGCCCCRGCTCTGCGCTTCCCCAAAGGATTAAACTCTCCTCCTCGCCTCCCAGATTAAGAGACACAAACGCAAAATATGGAACAGTCCAAATGGGTGCACGTGCCGGGGCAGGTGAAACCTGAAAGGTCCCGTGTCCTCGGGAGCAAACCCGCTAAGCCGCAGCRGGAACCGGCGCRGCYGGCGGCGCCGCTTCCACCGTGTTTTTCCAGCGGGACTTGGGCGCTTTYGAACCAAGCGGCCGCTCTCGCTTCCTCTGCTCCTGCGCCTTGCGGACCCCGTGCTGAAACAGCCTCTGACCTGGGATCTGTTTGGCAGCAAAGCCCCTGCGCTCATGCAGGGGAGAAGGGGCTTGGACTCGATGAATCCACGGGCAGGATATTTCGCGTGTTGGCTCCGCGCTGCCCTTCCTGCCGTGGGCCCCCAAGGGCGRCCACAGTGCAAAGCAGAACTTTGCAAGGGCCCCGCTCGGCACAAAAGCGCCGCTTTTATCATGGAAACGCAGGCGCTGCCGAGGGCTGCGGCGGGGCACGCGGCGCCGCTCGGGCCGCCCCGGCGCTGCAGCACGAGCAGGGGCCCAGGCAGGACCCCACGGTGCTGCTTGGGCCCGGCTCGAGCCCCGGGCGTCGGGTTCGGCCCCGTGCTTGGTGCTGGGGCCGCGAGGGCCGGCGCAGGACGCGCAGCCGCTGCGGGGCCCGGGTGGCTGCTCACGCCGCAGCCGCGCCGCAGCGAGCCCCCGCGACGCCCCGCACCCTGCAGCATATGGTTAATACTCTGCTAATAATCATGGCTGTTAACAGTACTCGGCTGCTGCCAGAGTGCCGGGCTGGCACGCGGCCGCCTCCTCCTATCTGCCTTGGCAGGCGGCTCCGCGCCGGCATCGCCGCTGCCCTCCCTCCTGCTCCGGCATCTCCCCGACACCCACCCCAGCCCGACGGCTCTTCCCGGGCTCCTTCTCTACCAACCTCCCTCCAGCTCCGGGCCCAAGCGGAGTCTTCCCATTAGGCCTCCGCCTGGATGCGTTAAGCCGGCCTTGCAGATCGATCCATAGGGCGCCTTCCCGAGCGCTCGCTCGCGGCTTTGCGAGCCCTTTCTGGATCGCTGCCCCGGAGCGACGGGGAAAGCGGGTGTACAAATTACCTCCACTTTGGGGCAATTATCAGAGGCAATTTGTTGGGAGGCAGAGGCGAGCGCTCCGCTTTGTGCAGCCCACAGCGCCCGTCGGGCTGCGTGTTGGTTCCGGCTCCCTTAAACACACATTATAGATTCCTTTGATTTTCCCCCTTATTGGGGGATTAACTCGGCGCGGAGCTCTAGGCGAGCGCTGTGCACTTCAATACCTACGCCACTGACGTACGCATTAAAGACGGCACGTGGCTTTGCCAGGCTATACGTACGGCCCTACCCTTTAGTGACCCCACAACCTCCTGTCTGYCTGTGCAACAAATAGCGACTTAAAAAGCCCTCCCTGCAAGCAAAGCACTGCACTGAGCTGGGCCACAAACACCAGCGCYGAATATATTTGCCCTAGGAAGAAGAAGAAAAGGGAAGTGAAATACTGATGTGAAGCCAACGCTTCTGCTCTCTCTAAATCTCTCTCATCTTCTCCCCTATCCACCGAGGACCCGGTGCCCCACTCCCACTTATTCAAATGAAAATATAAATACACTCGATGGAGACTTGTGCGGTGGCAGRGCCCTCGTGCCGGCTGCGCCGACATTCCCACGCTGCGCCCAGCGGGCGGGCGCCCGCGCTCCGCGGTGCCTTCCCGGAGCCCTGGTCACAGCCCCCTCGTGCAAACCCGGGTGAGGAGGGGCCTGTGAAACGGGGCTGCCCAAAATCCAGCCCGTGCCCGTCGGGCAATTCCTCCTGCAGGGAATGTCTCCACAGAATTTGTTGGCAAATGCCGGTTGCAGGCCCTGATCCGGCGAGCGGCCGCCCCCAGCGCTGCTGCTGAACAGGGGACAAATTCTGGTCCTGCTCCAGGTTTTCACTGACATAAAAGAGCTGGAATCGAACCCAAATTGAACCATTAGCTGTAGATTAACCTCCAAGAACAGACACGTTCGTGCAGAGAGGGAACAGYTCAGGACCTCCCTCGGGAGCACAACTCTGCGAGCATGCAAATGAGGCCGGCCCCTCATTTTGAAAATAAATTCCTTTATTTTTAAGCTCCAAATGGTGAGTGGGATTGCATTATTTGTATTTTTTTCCTCTCCCAAAGGGGAGCAGCAGCAGGACAGGAGCCCGAGCAGCCCCGAAGCGGGAGCTGCGGGGACGATGGGGGGAACAGCCCCCAGCGCCCCCAACACACCCACTGTTTCTAGAAGCATCCTGCCACCTTGGTCCCTCCAGCAACGCACTACCTACAAAAATGTATAGATAAATGTACGTATTGCTGTTAACCTAAGGGAAGCAACCTCTCCAGGGAAGCTGCAAGCCAGAAGTCGCCCTTGSTCTAAGGACGGGAAGGGCTCCCAGGTGGGATATAGGCCCCATCAGGAGGAAGGGAAGCAGAGGCCAAACTGCAGGAGCAGAGCGGGTGTCCCAGGCTCCACTGCCCCTTTTCCCCTCCATCCTGCTACCCCTTCCCGGCCACGGGAGCAGCAGGCGGGGGCTGCAGCCCTGCCCGGTGAGCCCAGCCCACCCGGGGCTGTGCTCGGGTCACTCCTCCTTGCAAAGCCACGTTTCTATCTTGGCCCTTCCTTTGCTTATCTAGGGAGCAAGGCGCGTGGTGGCGGTGCCGGGCAGACGCAGCGCCTGCCACAGGGGCCAAACACAAGGTTTTGCTCTTCAACAGAAGGTCCCCTTTGCAACAAGTCACCTGCGGCTACCGCCAGCTCTGGGGTCACCAACACGTCACCGGCTGTGCTAGGGATGGGTCCTCGCTGGGATAAGAGGGGACTCCTTTCYCTCCGAGCTCAATGCACTTTTGGGGGGAAACTCAGGTTCTGTTTCAGGGCAAATAAAGGTTTGCAGGGACGAGCTGAGCACAAAGCAGGGCACCRAAGTGTCCAACCCCTGCAAAAAGCACACGCGAAGAGCTTGGACAAGTTTCCAGCCACGCTAGAATAACCTGCAGGAGCAAAAGTTTAATAGTCTGGCTGTGAGAAGAGGAAAAGGGGAAAAAAAATCCTAAGGAATCAGCTTTCCCTTGGGAACCATCTTTGCAGTAGTCTTGTATCCCCAGCTTCCCTTCTGCGTTATGGGGTCGCATTTTGCCAGGTGCATTCAGACCGTGTTTCATCTCCGGAGAACTTCCCAGCTCCCCGCAAGCCCACAAAACAAAAAACAGAAAGCAAAGCAACCCCCAAAGGCGCCAGCAACGGCTGTGCGCTGCCCGCGAGGAAACGGTGCGCGCGGGAGGGCACGGGGGCACAGGAGAGGAGGGCTCTGCCGCTCGAAAACAAACAAGTCGCGGCACATGCGCCCGCACACAAACACCCGGCGCATCTGAAAGCCATCACGGGCGGCCCGTTTCCAGGCTGCTGCTTCCTCCAAAAATAAAATAAAATAAAATAACGTCGTGAAGGCAGGAAAGCCCCCCGGGCCCTTTCGAGCCCCCAGCGGYGCTCGCTTACCATGCTGAAGTCCAGCAGGTCACTGAGCTCTTTGTCCGTCCCAACTGCAGCCATTCTCTGCTGCTGCTGATTCATAGTCCCGCACACTCAACAGCGGCAGCCCTGGAGAAAGCGAGGGGGAGGGGAGGGAGATTTTAATGACTGGAGCAAACTACCCACCCCATTGATGAATATTTAAAAAAAGAGAGAAAAAAAAAAAAGAACGCTGGAGAGAAAGAAGGGGGGGAAAAAAGTCCTTGGCGTCGGCGCAGCGGCCAACTYGGCGGCGCAGCGCGCGGCCCGAGCGCGCGTAGCGCCCGCAGGCAGGAACAAGCGCTCTATTGACCAGACACACTTGTATGTTAGTTTTTTTGCTGCCAATTCCACTAGTTCGGGGCCAATTCTGTTCCTGGCGTGCGGCGAATGAAGGAGCGGGGGGAGGAAAGGGGAAGAAAAAAAAAAAAAAAGAAAAAAGAAAAAAAAGAGGCAACTCATTTATCAAAGGGTTCAGGCAAGTTATCACTCGGGCGCTTGTCTGGCTGCGCTTCGCCCCTCGCCTCCCCCACGCGCCGCCCCGCGGGAGCCTCTTGTCCTCCCCGCGCCGGCTCCACAAAATACAGCGGAGGGGGGCAAAGAAAAGGTGGGATYTTGCGCTTTTCCTGACACTCGTGCAGCACCTGCAGGGTTTGGGGGATTTTTTTTGGAGCAGGTGGGGGAGTTTTGGGATGTGCAGCGAGTTTTAGAAAGCCAGGTTAGAACTAGTGGGAGCTGCTCCTCTTTCTGCTTTGATCCCCCTCCGAAAAAAAAAAAAAAAAAAAAAAAAAAAAAAAAAAAAAAAAAAAAAAAAAAAAAAAAAGGAGAGGGAAAAATTGTCTCCGGCGGTACTGCAAAAATAAAAGCTGCCAGGAAACCTTGCAAGATAGGTAAATATTATTCTTCCTAATTTTACAATTTTTTTTTTTTAAGGGAAATTGATCTTTTTGGCTAACTCGCTGTGATAGAAAAATATTTCTTTGGGAGAGAGGTCTGGGATGAGATAAAAGATTCCTCTTCCTCCCCCCTTCTCTCTCTCTCTCTCTTTTTTTTTTTTTAGGAGCTCATTCATGGTTATAAAGGGCAGCTGGCCAATAAATTTAACTC